GCCCGGCTGTGTCGCGCAGCTGGGCGTGTAGCCCGGGAGCTGCTGGCGGCCGAGCTGTGGGCCAGGTTACCCCCGGGGACTGTGCCTGGGCTCGGGGCCTGTTCAGCGGGCCTGGGGGACGTGACGTCACAGGGTGCCTGATTTGCTTCTTCCTGGGCTGCCTTGTGTCGAGGTGGGAAGCGTAGGGCCGTAGGTGATGGCCCGTGCATTATGCACCCGGTACAGAGCAAGGTGGCCGGGAGAGGGAGCATGCCCGACCAGGTGGCTGTGGGCAGGACCGGTGCGGCTGGGACGGAGGCCACAGGTGCTTTTCTCCCGGTCGGCCTTGGCCTCATGAGCCCAGGCGCAAAGACAGAAGCCTGGGAGAACCACCATAGGAAGGCCCCGCTGCCGGCAGGAGTTACATGGGGACGTCGCGACTCGGGAGGAAACGGTCATGGAGCTCGGCCTACCTCACGCTGCCGGGGAAAGGTGACCCAGGAAAGCAGAGTCCTCGTGGCACTGTGAGCCGTGGCACGGTGCAGACAGCGGCGATGGCCGTTATGAATCCAGGCAGTTGGCACGGTCAGGAGCGGACTAAGGCGCGGCATAGGAAGCCACAGACGGACCACAGGGTTGGATCCCAGAGTGGCCAGAAATGCAGGGTGTGTGCCTGGAGGGCTGGGCAAGGAGGCCTTGGTGTGACGAGCCCATGAGGGTGCTCACATGCACACTGTCAGATTCCAAAAAAAAAAGATACTTAAACTCTACAGCCCTAACCCCTGGCAAAGGTGCAGTGCACACCTCCATGTTGGCGTCCAGAGGTGCAGACCGGGCACAACCAGATCGGGCCAAGCAGCAAGTGCTGCCAGATGCAGGAGCAGACGGCAAGGACGGGAGGGAGTGCCCCAGCCCCTGCTGCCACCATGTGGGAGGAGCTGAGTGCCGGTGGGTGCTGAGGCAGGGGTGCAGGCTGGAGTCCTGCCCGTCGCCGCCTGCGCCTTCGCCTGCGTTGCCTTCTCAGGAAGCAGGTTCAGTCCGTGGATTTCCAGCCCACCCGATTTCACGCTGCTTAGTTCTTTGTACCAAATAAATGGCCGCTGCCTTTGCCGCTGCGGCTCGCCCTGGGTTCCCGCTGAGCGTGCCATCTCATGGGCCTCCCACCTCCCACCACACGCCCGCTGTAGGGGCGGCACAGTGTGCACGTGCATCTGCACTCGCACGCACACTCGGCGACTGTTAGAATAAGTGCTCTTTGAAAGTGATTTTCTGACCAAGCACACTTTGCAAATAACTTAGCCAAGAGGCTTTGCCCCAGTTTACACTCCTTTTAGCGTAGGGCCAGCTTCCCAGAACCCTGGCCACTCAGTTATGTGTCTTAGGGTAGAAATACCATGGCATGGGACCAGCAGATCCATAATGGTTACGACGCTGGGCTTGCACATGGCCAACCATGGTTTGAGTCCTGGATCCGGCAGCTTCAAACTCGTGCTGGGCACATGTGCATGCGTGCCCAGGATCCTGGGAGAATGGAGGAGAGGGCGTGGTGGCGTGGCCATCCCCCCGGGGATTTCTCACTTTGTCTCTCTGTGTCTGTCTCCAGCAAGCACATGTGCCCTATAGGAAAAAAAATCTTTAAAAGTAAAGGGGGAGGTGTCAGGTGGTGTGGTCAAGGGCACTGGACTCCCACAGGGCTGACAGCCGTTCAAGTCCTGGACCTGGTGGCTTGCTTTCTCACTTGCTCTATTCTGTCCCTCTGGTCAAATTAAAATAAATAAATAAATGGAGTGAATAAAGTTGCTATGACGGCGGTGTTGACGCTGTTGCACGCTTCCTGGTGGAAAGATTTAAGGACTGCTTAAAACAAAAATAATTACACAGAACCAGGACGTATGCCAAACAGCACAAAGCCTACGAAGGGAGCGACGGGAGCCCACCGCCAAGCCTCGAAGGCAGCCGCAGCCCGGAGGAAGGAAGACGGGCAGGGCTCTAGGGAACTTGCAGGCAAATCCTAAAGCAGCCAATGAAGAGCGGGAAAGTGGAGAGCCGGCTCGGGACAGAGCGGGGACCGGTGCCCAAGGGATCCCGCGTGGTCACCGTGGTGCAGACCCGACCAGGCCAGTACGTGAGGCCTGGGTCCCTGGGCTGGAGGACGGAGGGGGACCGCGGCAGGGCAGACACTGGAGGGCGCCCCGCACACACGTGCGCAGACACGGATAAAGGAGAACATGAAAACAGCAGCGGCTGGACCGGTGTGGAGTCCCAGCAATGCTTAGTCCAAAACAGGCCTGCAAGGAGCAAGGAAGAACCGCAGGTGGGCGAGCAGAGAACAGCATGGAGGTCAGATTTTAATGAAAACATTACGTGTAAGTTGTCCACCTTCAGAAACTGGAAAAAGCACAAGCTAAGCCCAAAACATGCAGAGGTCGGAGACAACAAAGATAAGAATGGAAACAGAGTGGGTCAGCCTGTGGTGTGGTGGCCTAAGGCAGCCAGCTGGGTGGTTTGAGTCCCGGACCCAGCGGTTTGAGGAACGTGTGTGCGTACCCAAAATCCTGACAGGAGGGAGAAGTGGAGGAGAAAGGACAGGTGTGACCATTCCCCACGAGTGGTGCTTTCTCACCTCCTCACCCCACCTTGCTGGCGAACTACGCCCTCTGGCAAAAATTTAAAACAGGAAATCAATAAAACCAGTTGGATTCTTGAAAAGATCAACAAAATTGACAAGTTTTCAGTGAGACTGACCAAGGGAAAAAAGTTCAAATTACTAAACAGAAATGAAAGATGTGACATTACAGAAAGGGTCATTAAAATAACATGAACTCGGGGCCGGCAGGTGGCATGGTGGTTAAGGACGCTGGAGTCCCACATGGCCGACCACGGTTCAAGGCCTGGACCTGGAGGCTTGCTTTCTCACTTTCCCTCTCTCTCTCTCGCTCTGTCCCTCTCTGGTCAAATTTAAAAAAATGAAATAAATGAATGAATAAATATAGTTAAATAAAATAATTCTTTAAAAAAATAAAGTACCATGAACTGTATGCTGACAAATTAGATAATTTTCATAAAATGGAAAAATTTCTAGAAAGACAAACTGCGGCCAACAGGTGGCATGGTGGTTAAAGATGCCGGACTTCCATATAGCCAACCCTGGTTCAAGTCTCAGACCTGGTGGCTTGCTTCCTCACTTTCTCTCTCTGGTGAGTAATAGCAAAATTAAAAAAAAATTAATAAAATTAAATAAATTTTAAAAAGTTAAAAAAAGAATTAAAAAAAAAAGGTCACAAACTATTGGAATGCCTCAAGGAGAAATACAAAATCAGAGTAACTTTCTTTTCCTGCAGGTTGTGTGTGTTCCCCAGAGACAGACAGGGCGGGTGGCAGAGGAGAAAGCGCCTCGTGGGAGATGGTCGCACCACAGTCCCTTCTCCAGCCTGCCCTCCTTACCAGGCAGACATGCCCAGTTTCCCAGGCCACCGGGTCCAGGACTTGAACCGTGTGGTTGGGCACGTGGGGGCCAGTTGCCTTAACTGCCAGGCCATGGGGCTGGCTCAAGTAAAAAGACAGTGCTCAGAATGCTCCCCACAAACAAAAGCCTAGGCATTTAGATTCTACTATGTAACAAACCTTCAAACTCTCCAAAAGCGGAGGGATCGCTTCCCAACTCATCCTCTGAGGCCAGCACTGTCTTGATCCCAAAACAGACACCAGAAAGGAACACGTTGGATGCAGGTTACACAGAGGAAGGTCAACGGGCACGAGCAGGCCCAGGCCAGCACATCTATGGAGGGCCGCAGGCGGGTCTTCCACAGGGATGCAGTGGGCTCGGCCAGCAGTCTGTCATTGTAACACTGTCCTTGCAACAGAGGAGTGACGCCACGTCCACGGAACAGAGGAGTGACGCCACGTCCACGGAACAGAGGAGTGACGCCACGTCCACGGAACAGAGGAGTGACGCCACGTCCACGGAACAGAGGAGTGACGCCACGTCCACGGAACAGAGGAGTGATGCCACATCCACAGAACAGAGGAGTGACGCCATGTCCACGGAATAGAGGAGTGACGCCACGTCCACAGAACAGAGGAGTGACGCCACGTCCACGGAACAGAGCACAAACACCACATCCACGGAACAGAGGCTGCGTCCATGGGACAGAGGAGTAACGCCACATCCACAGGACAGAGGCTGTGTCTAGAGGAGCAATGCCACGTCCACAGAACAGAGGCTGTGTCCGGAAGAGTAACGCCACGTCCACAGGATAGAGGCTGTGTCGAGGAGCAATGCCACGTCCACAGGACAGAGGAGTAATGCCGCATCCATGGGACAGAGACTAACGCCACGTCCATGGAACAGTCTGTGTCCTCGGAACAGAGGAGTAACACCGTGTTCATGGAACAGAGGCTGCAACCACACAATCCCACCTCAACAGAAGCAGAAAACATTTGACAAAATCCAACACTTTTAAGCTAAAACATGGGCCGGCAGGGGGCGTGGTGGTTAAGGTTGCTGGACTCCCACATGGCCGACTGTGGTTCAAGTCTTGAACCTGGCAGCTTGCCTTCTCAAGTTTTTTTTTTTTTCCTTCTCTCTCTCCCTCTCTGGTTAAATCAGAATAACTCATGATTAAAGTTAAACGAAACAATTCTAAAAAAAAATCAAATAAAAAACTTCCAACATATAGATCCACAGAGCACATGAAGGCTCAGATGCAGACTTCACGTTATGTCCAAGAATCTTGTTTTTCTTTCATTTTTGAAAAGAATTATTATTATTATTTCTTTCTGGAGAGGTTTTTTGCTATAGGGCGCGTGCACTTGCCAGACAGGGACAGAGAGACAGAAAGTGAGAAATCACCCCCCAAGGGAGATGGCCCCACTGCAGTCCCTTCTCCTCCATTCTCTCGGGATCTTGGGCATGCACGCACACGCACCCGGTGTGTTGGTTTTGAGGCCACTGGGTCCAGGATGCGAACCGCGGTCGACTACATGGGAGTCCAGAGACATAGCCATTACGCTAACTGCTGGTCCCTAAAAAGAATTATTTATGTAATTTTATTTGTTGTTATTATCTTTTAATCTGACCAGAGAGAGAAAGGGAAAGTGAGAAAGCAAGGCACTAGGTCCGGGACTCAAACCATTGTCAATCATGTGGGAGTCCAGCACCTTAACCACACGTCACCTGCCGGCCCCTGTCCGAGTATTTTCAACAAAGGCTTGGAGGCGGTCTAATGGGAAGGACAGTCATTTCACAAAGCATGCTGGCACAACTGGGCAGCCATCTGCAAAAAGACTGAAACGCTCAAAACGTAAGAGCCATGGGGCCAGCGGGTGGCATGATGGTAAGGTGTTGGGCTCTCACATGTTTGACTGCAGTTCAAGTCCTGGACCTGGCTACTTGCTTTCTCACTCCACCCCCGCCTCTGGTAACATTAATAAATAAATAAATAAATAAATCTTTAAAAGACACGAATTGTCCGCTCTGCAGAAGAAAACCCTCAGTGAGCCATTAGAACTCCCCGTAGGCCTGCCCCACAGTAGTGATAGTGCACTGGCTCCCACGTGGCTGGCTGGGGTCGAATCCTGGCACTCTGGCTTAAGGAACAGGATCCCTTTGGCAGAGCTGGCTAGAGTGACGTAGCAGAGAAGAGGCCGGTCCCTTCTTTCTCCTGCTGCCAGGTGGCATGAGCACAAGGCACACCGGCCTGTAGGTCAGTCACGCCATGGTCCCTCCTGCTCCCCCCGTCAGGGTGGGGGACACGCACATTCCAGTGTTGTTTTTCAGGCCAGTGGGGCCAGGGCTTGAACCCCAGCCAGCCAGGGGGTGCACAGCTGCTGTTCTGTGGGGCCAGCCCAGGCCACAGCAGTTTCTTCAAGCTTTCATCTCCCTCCCATGTGGACCGACCACCTCTCCCCGCTGTTCACCTGGAGAAATGAAATCGTGTCCGTCAGACGCGGCCCCCCGAGCAGCTGCTCTCAGTGAGGACGGCAGGGCAGGAGCACGCGCGTCAGCCC